CCTTTGGAGCAGTGGGAGCTGGCGCCGCAGTCGAGGAAGGTGCAGGAGGGGCCACCTTGGGAGCGGCACTCTCTGTTGCCGCCGCTGCTGTCGCAGCAGCCTTCTCATCGGCAATCCTCTTCCTGCACTCGTTGGCCCAATGGCCCGGCTTGTGGCAGTAATTGCAGGTGCCCGGCTTCTTCTTCCCAGGAGCCGGCGTCGAAGATCGGGCCCTTCCGCCCTTCTTGCCACCCTTGCCTTTGTCCTTTCCCTTTCCTCCTTTGTCCTTGCCTTTGCCTTTATCACCATGCTTGCCTTGGTCCTTCCCGTGACCTTTTCCTTTGGGCTCGCCACCCTTGGGCTCACCCTTCTCAGAACGATCAGCACCAAAAGCTGCAAAGCCCTTGGCGTTCGAGGCTTCCTTGTGAAAGTTCAAAACACGAAGCTGCTCATCATAGAAAACCAAACCGCGCTCAAGCTGCTCCAAGGTTGTCAAAGACCCATGCAACAAAAGGTACTTCTTGCAATCATCATGAAGGTGCTTCAAGATGCAGCTGATAACATCAGCCTGCTGCAGTTCAAGGTCTGGGTACTTGTTGGCAACGAGCGTGCGGTAGCGAGCAAAATCAGAAATCATATGGCGAAAAATATCCAATGGCCGTCTCAAGTGCTTTGGTGGCGCGATCAAGAGAGCCTGCTCTCTGAGCGCCTGTCCCTCCACACGAGACCTAACAGACAGTTCTTTGTTCAACTCACGCCAGAGGTCGTACCCTGCAGCGGCACCGCCTTGACTCAACTCGACAAGCTTGGCTATGTCAACTCCTCGCTGAAAACCAGCGAGAGCCTGCTTCAAGAGGTACCACAGCTTAGTGGAACGAGCGGCCTTCCCCTTTGAGAGGCTGATCTGCTGAACCTGAACACCGCTCTCCACAGCCTCTTGCAGTTCCTCCGCGTAGCGGTCGTCTAGAAGACACAGCCAGGAGGTCAGTTCTTCGCGGTAAGCGGTCCACGTGGAGATTTCCTCATGGCGCGATCTCATCTTGTCTGCTGCCAACTTTGGCAGGGACGGAATGTAGTTTTCCGCCCTGTTGCTGCGCAAGCCTGTGTCCACATCCATCTTCACAACACCATCAGAGTCAACTCTGATGGCACCCAGGCTTCCAAGAGCTTCAGCGGGCGTCCCTTGGGACGAACTTGCAGCAACAGGAGCTGCACTTGCGGCCGAACTTGCAGCGTTTGCACTCGCAACGGCGAGCGTCTTCACCATCTCGGTGAGCTGCGAAATCTGGCCCTGCTGAGCTCGGATCTGTTCATCCTGGGCTTGCAACATCTGCCTGAAAAGGTTGACAGTGTTGTCTTCTGGACTAGGCACAGATGCCTGCTGAGGATTCCCTCCTCCGTGAGGGAAAGTCGGTTGCGTTCCAAACTGAGGCTGCTGCTGCTGCTGAAAACCCTGCTGCAACGGAACCTGTTGAGGTACCTGTGGAAAAGGCACCTGAGGCACTTGACCTGCACTCACAAGAGGTCTGGGTCTACTCACAGGCCGGTGTGCTGTCGGACTGTTCCGAGCAGGGAGGGACCTTCCACGAGTCCGCGAGCCAGGTGCACTCAACTCTCGAGGGGTTGAGGGAAAGCCAGAAGAAACTCCACTGGCACGACTAGCACTTCGCCCTGAACTCCGTCCTCTTGGGGAACGGTCGCGGCTAGGCTCGGCTCGTGGGTCCATGGCTCTGAGGAGCAACCTTGAGCTCCGCTACCACGTTAAAACCCAAACGCGCCTTGAGGCACACTTCTAGGTTTAGTAAAAGGAGGTGCAAGCCGACTGACTGACTACGTCACGCAAGGCTACAGCAGTGAAAGCTAACAGCACTTTTACACCTTTCGTCGCAACCAACTGTTCACCACGCGCTTGTCACGCAGTGCAAGTCTTGAGCCAAAGTGAAACGGGGCGCAGACAGAGACTTCAGCACACTCACTTCCGCGGTAAGTCCTAAGGACTCCTAACGGCTTCTCTGCACTGGTAACTCTGTTCTATGGCGCAGGTGCTCCCCGGACTTCGTCTAGAAGTCCGTTCTCACAGCAAACAAACTGATAACACTCTGATGTTCATCATGCTTCAGGAAAGTTCAGGGAAACACCATTCTTCGTGAAAACTCGTGAGGAAAACTCCGGTTGGACACGCTTCTGGTAATGATCACTTTCACCGCAAGGTGAGACAGGAAGCGTGAGCGCAGCGACCGACAGACAGACAATTTTCCCGACTCCTACCGTTCACAACTACACCTAAGGTTCTCCAAAACTCACAAAGGAGAAAACAGAAAGTGTTCCTGACCTTGGCGAGACACAGGGGCACCATTATTGGATTGAAAATCAACTCGAAGGGTGGCAAAGGCAAGATCAAGGCAAAGGTGGCAAGCAGCCCGGCAAGGACAAAGGCAAAGGCAAGGGCAATAGGCGACAAGTCACAGGTGGAGTGTTACAACTGCGGTTGAAAAGGCCATTGTTGGCGCAGCAAAGGTCAGGCGAATATGCATCGGTTGTCAACAATCCGACTCCGTCGGAAGCTGCAGCACCGTGGGGCCGTCAGCGTCCCAGGCAGCGTCCCAGGCCACCACAGCAGTGCGTCGCATTGAGATTCATTTGAGTGCAGTTGGCAGTGGCAGGCAGAGGAGGCATTCACATGATCGCACAGGCGAGACCGGACCAGGCTGCTCGAGCCATACCCGAGCGATGAGGTGCTTCTCGAGCCAAACCCGAGTGAGGCGATGTCCGCGCCCAGACCGGACCCGGTGCTGCTCGAGCCCAACCCAAGCGAGCGACGTCCGCGCCCAAACCGGACTTGGTGCCACTCGAGCCTTTCCCAAGTGAATTCTTTGATCTTGTGCATGCCGCACTCCTTGCCATGACCGTGCCTGACCCTTGTGCGTAACTTCGAGCCAGCTGCCCCAATGTACGACATGAGCCACAGTGACAGTGACGGGAAATGGACGTTTGCGAATGGATCCTTGAGTGTGGTGACTTGCTCCAGTGCAATCCATCAGGACATTGAGATTGTGCTTGACAGTGGGGCCCATCACTCGTGCCTTCCTGCGGCCTTTGGTTCCACCGGGACCTCAGCGCCGCCGTTGCAAGCAACGTTCCGTGATGCACAGGGCAATGTGACTACGTCGGTGCGCAATGCAAAACTTGACCCGGGACCTTTGACCATAACGGAAACCTGTTGACAGGCCCCGTGACTTCCCGTTGTTGAGCTTAGGCCCACAATCGCAAACCTTCTGGCGAACCTCATGCACCACAATCGCAGACCATTTCTTGCGAACCTCATGCAGCACAATCGCAGTACACCTCAGGGTGATTTTCACGTGAATGCATTGACTGTGACATTGCATGGCGCTTGGTTGTCGCACAAAGCGCCGTTTGTCCAGATTGACACAGGTCTGGTGGCAAACAAGTGCACAATCCTGTGCAACGTGCTAGTGCCAGAGGAGTCAGACGGTGATCCGTCTCCCGATGCTGCCATGGATTTGGATGTCAACATTGATGCAGCCGCAGCGCAGAGTCTTGGGAGAGGTACGTCGGGTGGTAAGGCGACTATCTGTCTGGGCTGGCCAGGATCTGGTCCCCAGCGAAGAGCTGGAAGCTGACCTTCCGCAGTGCCCCCAGCGGTTCTGAAGAGGATCAAGGAGTTTCTTGCACGAAACGATTTTCTGTGGGCCAACCTTCCGGCTGATGTGCAGCTGCCTCGTGAACAGGCGCCAGTGCGAGAGCCATCCCAGGATGAAGTGCGCAAGCATTCCGGCACATTCCATTCCAAGCATGGAGCGCTGAATGTGTTCAGCATCGTGCCCGTTCTGAGAGACATGAGAGGCACCCTGTTGGCGACCGTAAGCATGCGACAATTTGTTTTGATTTTGCTAACACGAGTCGGCCTGAGACTCCTGAACAGAAGCTCGTGTGCCTAGTTGCGTCTTGCAATTTTACCGGTGCAAATCAAGCTTGGCCTGTCCGGCCAAGGGCGGCAATCTGCAGCTCAGGAACATGACGACCTACGGAGCGAAGCGCAGTTATGTTTATCCTGGTCTAGCGAAGCCAAAGGCGAAGCGCACTTGCAGTTTTCAAACAACATTGTTTAAACCACAGTTTTAGCTTATCGCGATTTTACAACAGATTCCGATTTTCATGTGGTTCGATGCTGTTTTTCGCATCACGATTTCCAGCATGATGCTTCGGTTGATCTTGTGCGATTTTGAATCATGTCACCCGGCGGTGTGTTCAAGTGCCGGAAATTTTTCAATGGAGCCTTTGGTCCTCTGAGGTCCTTCTTTAACTGCAACAGGCTCCAGAAAATCAACAGGCGGACGCTTGGGGCTAGCCCGCCGTGCAAGCTGCTCTATCCGGAGGCTGGTTCTGCGTCCGCGTCTGCGACAGCGAGTGTTGGGGATTCCAGCTCTGATTTTGAAGCATTAAGTGCCCATTTGCATTCGCTACAGCTCTCTTTCGACATTCTCGAATCTCGCCTCCGGGTGCTGGAGGACCGCTACAGCCTCCTTGCGTCTCAGGGCGAGTCAGTCTCTGCCCGACTTTCCCTCGTGGAGCGTTTTCTTGGGGCATTGCGGCTTTGTTGCCGGCGGCTTTCTTGATAAGACTCGCATTGCATCAGCTTCTTTTGCGGGGGATGAGTGCTGAAGCCTTTTATCCGGATGAGGGAGCCCTCTCGCAGTCTGTTGAATCAGGTCAGCAAGTCCCTCTGTCTGCCATACCTGCCAGCCGAATATCACCGAATTCGGCTGTGCTTGAGGGCACACCTGATCAGAGTCCTTTAGCGGCTTTCATGAGCAACTCCGCCGAGGGCGATGATCTTACTGAGGAGCAGCTGGGGGGCCTGATGTCTCGCGAGGACACACAGCTTCCCCCTGACGACGACCCGACTGCGGCCCGATTGCACTGCCTACGGCGGCAGCGCTGGTGATTGGCATGCCATGAACTCGGGTTTCATTCTTGCAAGGCATTCTCGTCAGGCGATGCCGTGGGAGAGGGTGACGAGGCCCCGGTTGGGGCCTAGCTTCATGTTCCCTGAGCCGTTGCTAGGTCGTTTTGACGGTCTTCGGAGGGCGGCGATTCCCGCCCCTGCAGCAGGGCCTTGGGCTTGGGTACCCAAGGGAACTTACGAGGCCAGGCGACTTCTTGCAGCCAGGTTTGCCAAAAGCGATGACATGCTCAGGCTTACCGCACTAAAGAAAATTCGGCTTATCGTGCTTTTCTTTCCGGATGATTCGGAGCTTGGAAGGAACCTCGTGGGTTCGGCAGGCTCCCTGGTGGAGGAAGCCACGCTGACCTCGACTATCGAGGACACTTTTTCAGGAAGAGCTGCCAGCACCCTTCTGAAGCGGGCCTCAGATTTCTCCAGGTTTGCCAAGTGGATCGTAGCAAACAAAGGGCGCCCGCTGGCGCCGTCCGAAGGCGAGTTGTACGCATACATGCTTCACTTGCGACGGGAGAAAGCAGGAGCTACCGCCGGAGAGTCTTTTCTCAAGGCCTACAAGTTCTTTGTGCACTTGACCGGGACAGAGAAAAGCTCCAGAATTTCCCCTCGTGTGCAGGGAGCAGCCAAGGCGATGTCCATGGCCAAACGGCCGCTCTGGCAAGCACCGCCCCTTCCAGTGGAGGCAGTGCGGCTCCTGGAGGAATTGGTTCACGAGTCCGAGGATTATGCCAGGGCCAGCATAGCAGGGTTCATTCTTTTCTGCCTCTACTCCTCGGCTCGGTGGTCGGATGCGGCTCGAGGGACCCACTTGTGCATTGATGTGGCAGGTAACGGGCTTGTCCTTCTTGAGTGTTCGACCAAGCATTACAAGACGAAGGCCAAGGACCGAAAGGATACTGTGTTGCCTCTGATTGCACTGGGCAGCGGCCTTACTCAGCCCTCATGGGGACGTGTCTGGATGCGCAAGAGGGCCCTGGCAGGGCTACCGGACTGTTCCGTCATCATGCCGGCCATGTCGCCGGGAGGGAACTTTCTGGGAAGGGCCATGACGGCTGCGGAGGTGGCTTCGTGAGTTTTTGCACTTGCAGGGTTTTGCGGGGGATCTTGAACAGTACAGCTCGCACAGCCTGAAAGCAACAGCCTTGTCCTGGACGGCCAAGAGCGGGACCACGACCTACGAGGAGCGCCTCACCCATGGGCATCATTGCAGCCCGAAGCACGGCATGGCTCTCCTGTACTCGAGAGATGCGCTTGCTGAAATCATAGTGAAGGTAGCCAAGGTAGCGAGTGCTGTGAGCAGGGGAGTGCTTAGTCCCGACCTCCCGCGAGCCGAGAGGGTTGCAAGGGCCCTGCATGGCAATCCGGCAGATTTTGCACATCTTCCAGAGACGACGGCTGAGGATCTACCGGCCGAGGAGCCTCAAGACGAGAATAACTCCGAGGCCGGGTCTGACATAACAAACCTCGACGGTCTCGAAGCGGACCTGGGGGCACCGGCCCCCGGAGGAGGTCCGACCTCGGCTGAGCTGCACGTTTTCGGGAGAGACCTACATGCACGTCTTGAGTGGAGTGGTGCATAAGCTGGTCAACCCCGAAATCTTTAAGTGCGGTAGGAAGGTCACTGCGAACATGCGTTTGATGGGGCCCGAGGAGGCTCAGGAGAATGTCTGCCAGCAGTGCGCGGCTTGAAGAAAAGAGGATGTGCTCAGTGCTCAGTTGATCTTTTGCTGATTTGCGACGTCGTGCCTGTGCCACTTGAGATGAAGGAACTCGGGCCGATTGAGGTCAGTTGGAGTGTTTCTTGCTTCGGAGCACAAAAGCGGACTGAGAAGTGTCCGCAGTCTTTTGGCTGGGAGTTGCCAAACTGGGGCGAGTCTCCCGCGCGGCCTGGTGAGCACCCAGGCTTGAACTTAGCGGGAGTTTGATTGGGGGCCTTGTTGCAACCCCAGTGGTCGGCTGTCATCACCGGCCTGAGTCATGAAAAACAATTGGGACGAGGCCGGCTGGGATCGCCGGTTCCCGAAGGCCGCCTGGGATCGGTGGCAAAGAAGTGTGAATCCGAGACAAATGCGACCCACGGTTGACTTCGCCGTGGGTGAGACCTTGAAGCCTGTATCCTCACCTGCCCAGGTCTCATGGCCGGACTTGAATCGGTGCCCGCCTTCACCGATCGAGCAAAGCAGATCGGCATCAGCGAGGAACTTCTGAACAAGCTCATCGCCAAGAACTTGGACACCTACGGCAAGCTCGCTTTCGTTTGCTCGAGCAGACCTTCCAGCGGGGACGACACTCCTCTCTTCGAAGCCCTGAACACTCTGCTTGGGAGTGAGGTTCCAGTGGAACAACATATGGTGATCAGGCGATTGTGGTACGAGAGCCACGCCCACGCCCTGGTTGACTTAGAATCGAGGGCTTCGAGAACAAGTGATACGAGCCCCCGCGAGCTTCCTTTGGCAGAACGCCTGACACGCTTGAAACGCCAAAGGGGCGAGCTCAAAGGCCTCGAGATGGATATCCACACAGAACCTGGACACGGCCTTGTGGACCGCGTCCAGGCCATGCTCGATTCTGCACAAGTGCTGCACATCGCACCGGAAAAGTGCATTTCCCGCCATGACGAGATCCTGGGTGAGAAGACGGAGCAAAAGCTCTCTTTGGGAGCTGACGGGAACATCAAGATTACGAAGCAAGCCTCGAGTCTCCGGTGCGAGACTACCGGCGAGCTCAAGCTTCGCCGGTGCTTCCTGCGCCGGGCCTTAGCGTTCGATCAAGTAGGGCTCGCCTCCTTCATTGCAATGGAGTCTTGGCACAACCGCATGTTCCAGGCTCTGCTTGATGTGCCTCCGGCGGGTTATCGCTACACTACCGTTCAGCAGCTGCTCGCAGCAGACCAGAAGCTTTGGCAAGTAGTGGCCCAGGAGAGCCGAGGTGACATCGTCGTCGGAGTCGGAGCCCCGGCTCCTCTTGATAAGCACATAGCCGCGGCTGCGATCAACCAATTTGTGGTATCCTGCCTGACACACCTTCCTAAGCCTGTCGAGAGCCAGGCCCTACCGTGGAAGCCGAATAAGGGACCCGACAAGGGCAATCAGAAGGGAGAGAAGGGAACCAAGGGCAAAGGCCGCGGCAAAGGAAAGCAGAATCACAGCCAGGGCCAGGCTGACGCCTCCTCGCAACCATCCCTGAAGGAGCTGCTGGAGTCGTTACTCGAGGGCTGCGTGCGGGCCAACGATGATGGGCGTTTCATCTGCCCATTTTACAACAAAGGGATCTGTCGCTTCCAGAAGCGCAAGTCGTGCCGCTTCGGAAAGCATGTGTGCAACTTCAGGGGGTGCGGGGCAGAAAGGCCCTACAGTGAGTGCAAGCATTGACTAGCCTCGCCCTCGCCCGAGGTTTTCGCCAGGCAAATCTTAGCTCAGAGCACCCCAGTTACCGCTGAGCGAGTGTTGAGGCTTTTTGATGTCTTGCCGCATGAGCAGTGCGACCGAGACGCCGAAGGGCGCTCATTTTCGGCAGGGATGTACTCTCGAGTTAAGGTGAGCCTTCGCAAATCTTGTAGGCTTTTTCCACAAACGGTGCGCGTGGTGAACAGGTTTGTAGCCTCTTTGCTTGATGGTGCCGTTTACACCAGTTTTGCCATTTTTGATCAGGTACGCACTCGGCCACACCGAGACAGTCAGAATTCCTTTTCTCCGAATTATGTCATTCCTTTGACCGTTTTCCAAGGGGGAGCTGTCAGGGTAAGCGAGCCAGGCCAGACTGTGGACTTGGAAGTGTCTCGCGGGCCCATTAAATTTTGTGCGCGAGGGTATGAGCATTGCACTCTGCCAGCCACCGGGCGCCGAGTTGTTTTGGTGCTTTTTGCTTTGCAGGCCGGAGAGCGAATCTCCGGAGCCGACAAACATGTCTTGCTTGATTTGGGCTTCCCGTTGCCCAATGCTTCAGCTTCAACTGAGGTCTGCTCATCACAACAGCTTCCAGTGACTGACCAGATGAGTCGGATTCTCCTCCTGAAAGAGCCAGCTCCGCCTGCCTCCGAGCAAAAATCATTTCCCTCGTCCGAGTCTTCGGAATCCGACCAGGTTTCATCGGATCCCGGCGATCCCAAATCACCGCCTTGTCCGGATCCCAGTGCACATCAGCGAAGTGCCGCTTCCGCCTCGTTCGGGACCGTTGAGGGCTGCAACCCCCTGTCGAATCAGGGCCCCTCTTCGGTCCCTCGTCCGCCCATGCTGGCCGATTGCCTCGCTGTCTCGGGATCTTTATCGGCCGCCGCCCTGCAGGCTGGTTGGGATGCCTTGCCATTGGGCCACAAACGTGGTGCCCCTGAGTGCTGTCCCCGAGTGCCGATTGACCTCTCCGCGAAAGATGATCTGAAAACATTGCTTGACTTTGATCGCCATACACTTGTCGACTGGTGGCATTTCAATCTGTTCATGAAATCTTGCAATCAGGGGCGTGATTCTCGAGGACGTGCGAGCCTTCGTGACGCCTCTCACTTGCTAGGGCGCGACGGCCTTCCTGCCCGCGCCGATTCGCTGGTGCAGCATGAAAACAGTTTACTGCAAGCCGTGGTCGACCTGCTGTTCCGAGCTTATGAGACTCGGGCCCTGGTCAGCTTGATCGGGCCGGCCCGGAGTTGGGTTTGGAGCCTCTTAGCCCACTTTGTCAAGCAGAGGCGGCATCAGGACTTTCTGCAATGGTTCTTCGCTTTGGCCGATCAGGAGCTTGATACTTGCATGTTCGGTGCCCCATTCTTGACATCGCTGCGCATCCGAGCCGACTCTTCATCTTTCCCAAACCTTGGCCGTCCCTGTGATAAGTCCCATAAACACATGCCTTGGATTCCCCCTTCTGCAGGAACGGGTTTCAGTGATGCCTCGCTGCCTGCTGAGCTGTGCCGGACCCTGTGTCGCTCCGCCACAGCAGTCTGCCGAGGTCTCCAGGCCCAAAGAGTCGACCTCCTGCATAGCCGCCGACTTCGAGCTCAGGTGCGAGCGGCAGCGGCCAACCAACCCACCTACATGCCTCCCTTAATCCCTGAGTTTCGGGTTAGGGTTCCTCTGTCCCAAGTACCGAGTGGAGCTGATTACAAAATACTCTCCAAAGGCCGCGGCTCTAGTGCGGGGGACAATGATGAGCCGGGGGATAATGATGAGCCCAACCAATCCTTCTAAGAGGGTCCGGATGCAAGGAGATGGTAGAGCCGGAGATCTGGCAGGTGTGTATTTCTCCATGGAGGAGCACCTGCATCGCGCATGTGGGCTAACCTGCCCAGCTGACAACAGTGCTCGTTTGCCCGATGCTGTTCGCCGCAACATTTTTGCCATTCTCACGGAAGGCCCAGTGGCTGTGTCAAAGCGGCGGATGCTTGAACTAAAAAAAATTGAATGACCGGATGGCGGTGCTGTCTGCCACTGAGAAAGAGCTTCGAGCCAAAATGCATCCGGATGTGGAGCGAGTCACTAAGGGCAAGGCCCTAGCTTTGTTTCGCGAGCTTCTTGAGGAAACAGGCTTTCCCGACATGTCAGTGGTCGACCTTCTTACCGACGGTGTGCCCTTAGTTGGTCAGGAAGCTGAGTCCCCTTTGTTTGCAAAGCGGCCGAAGCCCATGGACCTTGAGCCAGATCAGCTTAAAGCCCAGGCCCTACTGCGGCGGCGCGCATTGCAGAAGATGAAAGGACTTGCTTCCGAGCAGGATTACAAGGCGATGAAAGATGAGACTTCCGAGGAACTGGCAGCGGGTTTCCCCACGGGTCCATACCACTCGGAGCAGGAAGTCAGCGACATCTTGAAGACCGATGCTTGGTCGCTCTCGCCTCGTTTCCTGTTGAGGCAGGGCGAAGACGCCAAGATAAGGATAATTGACGACTTTAAAATGTCGGCGGTTAACAGGGCCTTTGGTTCCTCGTCTTTCCTAGAGCTTCAGGATACGGATTACGCGGTCGGCCTCCTGAGGTTCCTTTCCCGTGTGCTGCAGGATCGCTCCAAGGTCCGGGTCCCCTTGTCTGATGGCACCGTGCTCGAGGGGGACTGGGATCCCGAGATGCTCCGCCAGCCCGCTCTGCTCGGTAAGACGCTGGACTTGAGTAAGGCCTATCGCCAGGTGAGCATCCATCCTTCCACGAGGGAGCACGCTGTTCTTGGCTTCCCCGACCCACAAGGCAAGTGGGAATTTTACATAGCCCAGAGCCTGCCATTTGGAGCTGCTGCAAGCGTGTATGGGTTCAACAAAGTAGCACTTGCGATTCTTCACATCATGGTTGTCAAGTTCGCTGCAATCACGACCGACTTTTACGACGACTACACTGTATATGAATTTCGCCCAGCTGCATTCCTGCTGGACAAAGTCCTGATGAGGCTGCTGGACCTGCTAGGGTGGACCTACGCGAAGTCTGGGCGGAAGTTTGTGCCGTTTGACAACAAGGTGGTCTCCTTGGGTGTTTCTTTGGGCCTTGACGAGATATGGGGAGGCACTCTCAAGGTCGAGAACAAAGCGGGACGTCTTGAAAAGATTTCGGAGCTCCTCCGAACAGTCGCCCAGGGCGGAGCTGTGACGAGATCTGATGTGGCCTCGCTGCACGGCTTGATCAACTTCGCAGGTGGACTGATTATGGGCTTCGAGCTGAAGCCAACGTCGCGAATGCTATCCCGGGCCTTGTCGGGGCCTTTCCAAGGCAGTACACTCGAACTTCGACTGGCTTGTGCGTTAGCTCTGGATGTCATTGCGCAGTGCAGGCCAAAGCGGTGCCCAGCTACAATTCTGCCGCCGATTGTGCTCTACACTGATGGAGCCTTCGAGAAGGGGCGAGGTACCTGGGGCGCGGTTCTTGTAGATGCTTACACGGGCTCCCGATGGGTCTTCGGGGGGGAAGTCTGCCAGCCGCTAATGGGTCACTGGGGCAAGGAAGCTGGGGCCCAAGTGATTTGTCAGGTTGAGGCCTATGCTCTGGCAATAACCTTGTTCGGGATTCGCGGAGTGCTGAAAGGTCGCTCAGTCTTGGCATGGATTGACAACAACGCCTGCCTTTATGGTTTCGTAAAGCGATACTCCCCCTCGGCCTCCATGATGCGCCTCATCTCCTTGGTGGCTTTGATGGAGAGTTCCATGGAGGCGCTTCTCTGGTTCGAGCGGGTCCCCTCTAAGAGTAACCCGGCGGACCTCCCATCGCGGGGGCAGTTTGCAGAGGCTTGTGAGCGCTTTCGGGCCATAAACAAAGGTGATGTGGCAGCCACAGATACGATGATGGACTTCGTTCGTGCTCCCCACTACGAGCCTAAGCTGGCTCAGGCAATTCTTACATCGGCTAGGCTGGAAGCTGATTGGGCACAGGAAGTGCTGCAGTGATCATCGATGCATCCTCCGATCGCGGGGCCGGGGGAAGATGGCTGCTCTGTTCGGCTGCTTTAGCCGTGCTCAGTTTGGCTGCTTTCGCCTTGCTCTAAACGGGTTGTGCTCGCCCGCTCTCGCCATCAACCCGGTAACAGACCCCCGTTGCAACGGAGTGCGAAAAAGAAGCCCTGTGCGAGTGAAGCCATTCTGTTTGCAATACGATAAGGATTGCTGGACTATTATTCCTGTGATTGGAGATTGAAAAATTTCTCCATATATCTTTATACATATTCGATTCGTTTTTGTATCTGAGGATACTTTAAACTGCAAGGAGACCAGAGAAACGACCTACGGAGCGAAGCGCAGTTATGTTTATCCTGGTCTAGCGAAGCCAAAGGCGAAGCGCACTTGCAGTTTTCAAACAACATTGTTTAAACCACAGTTTTAGCTTGTCGCGATTTTACAACAGATTCCGATTTTCATGTGGTTCGATGCTGTTTTTCGCATCACGATTTCCAGCATGATGCTTCGGTTGATCTTGTGCGATTTTGAATCATGTCACCCGGCGGTGTGTTCAAGGCTGAGATTGCCGGAAATTTTTCAACCACCCACCCGCCCGACATAGTTTCAATACGGTTTTTGAGAGACTGGGGAAGATGGCTGCTCTGTTCGGCTGCTTTAGCCGTGCTCAGTTTGGCTGCTTTCGCCTTGCTCTAAACGGGTTGTGCTCGCCCGCTCTCGCCATCAACCCGGTAACAGACCCCCGTTGCAACGGAGTGCGAAAAAGAAGCCCTGTCCGAGTGAAGCCATTCTGTTTGCAATACGATAAGGATTGCTGGACTATTATTCCTGTGATTGGAGATTGAAAAATTTCTCCATATATCTTTATACATATTCGATTCGTTTTTGTATCTGAGGATACTGTAAACTGCAAGGAGACCAGAGAAACATCAGAGCTTACAAGGTGGATCGCGACTTTAGGCCACAGCGAGGTCACACTGCGCAGTGACCCAGAGCCGGTGTGTTTGTCGTTGCAAAAGCTTGTGCAAGCCCAGCGTCTTCGACTTGGATTGCGGACCCATCTTGAGCAGAGTGAGCCTGATGATCATGCGGCCAATGCGGCCGAACCTGCGGTCGAGACCCTTCGACAGCTGACCAACACGTTGCTTTCTGAGTTTGAGTCCCGTGCAGGTGTCAAGGTGGCATCGTTAGATGCAATGCACGCATGGGCATGGCGGCATGCAAGCTTCATTCAGCAGCGGTTCACCAGATCGCAAGGCCAGACTCCGTTCGAGCTGGCATGTGGGCGGCCCTATCAGGGCAAGCTTGTGTGCATTGGTGAGACAGTTTATGGAAGAGTTAAAAGTGCTGTGAAAGGGCAACCCCGATGGGGCATAGGTTTGTGGTTGGGAAAACTTGGGTGTAGCGACGGCCACATAGTCTTCACTGCTTCGGGACATTTTCTTGCTTGCAGGTCGATTCGTCGCTTACCGCAAACTTACTTGAGGAGTGCTGATTTTGCAAAGCGCCTGCATGATCATCCCTATTCCCAGGCTGCTTTTCTTGCGGGCCAAGTTGGACAGTGCAGGCCGCAGAAAACACGTGATGCACAACAAGCACCCCCAGAGCCACAGCCAGATGAGAGTGCCCCGGCCGGTGCGGATCCACTTCCGTATCCTGGCTATGTTCTTCCTGACAGTGCACCGCTGAGTGAACTTGTGCCACCACCCGCCATCAGAAGTGATTTTGTGCCAGAGCCACCGACGCCCATGCAGGAAGACAGTGGACCTGTCACGCCATTGCAGCCAGCTCCTTCCGATGCAGAGGTTGTGAGTTCGCCTCTGGCTGTAGTGCCGGACGCTGAGGTGTTAGCCGAGGCGCCAAATGCTGATCGTGCCACGGGATCGTCCGATCCTGCTTCTTCGTCTGAGCCAGCGGCTGTACGTGTGCCTACCAGGGCTGCTGAGCCGAGTGCAAACGAGCCACGCAAGCGGCTTCGTCTTGACGCTGTGACGTTTGAAGGTGTCGACATGTACCACAACCACGAGGAGAATGATTTTGAATTTGAGGGTGAAATTTTAGAGGATTTTGATTATGCCGCGGAGGCCGATGGAGCCCAGGATGACACGCGGCCGGAGTCAAGCATTCCTGAGTGCTTGTTGGTCCCTTGGAGTGAGCATGAGCCAGAGCTGAGCGCTGAGCAGCTTGCACATGTAGATGCAGTTGCAATGCAGTTTGAGATTGATCGTCTCCATGGGATTCCTGCTCTTGAGCGCTGTGCACAGATCCTGCCAGAGCACAAGCACTTGACCACTCGTTTTGTGGTAACATGGCGCTGCAAGACCATTGCAGGTTGCACATACTGGCTCCGGCGAGCCAGGCTTGTGGCCCGTGATTTTGCATTTTTGTGCCCAGGCCGTACCGATCTGTTTTCCCCTGCATCGAATGCTCTGCAAAGCAAGATCATCCCATGTGTCTTCATTGACAACTACCATAACGGGTGGCAGTTGGTATCATTAGATGTTACGGATGCTTACTTGAATTGCCCGCAGGCAGAGGACACATGCACAAGTGTCATGATCAATGGTGAACGCTTGTATTTCAAGCTCCTCAGGCTCCTTCCGGGCCAGCGGGAAGGGAGCCAGACCTGGTTCTACCAGTTCACCGATGCGCTGAAAGTCGGAAGCCGTGTCGAGCTGATGCAAGAGGTGCCATCGCTGTTCAGGTTCCAGCCTGAGGACGGCGGAGGCGGGGGACTTGTGCACGTCGATGATTTGCTTGGCACAGGACCTGCAAGTGTGATCAAGTGCATGACTGATCATCTTGAAAGGGATTACAAAGTGACTGTGAATTTGATTTCGGTGCCAGGCCAAGAGGTTCATTTTCTTAAGAAGCGGCATTATCTTTTGTCGAGCACAGAGTTGCTGATTGAGGTGAGCCCAAAACACTTGGAAAAGTTGAAATCTTTGTGCGGCCATCCCAAGCACCGAAAATCACCTCTCCCGTCCGGGCGGTTGCCCACGGAGAAGGAGGACGATGCACAATTGTCCCAGGATCAGGCATTTCGCTTTCGATCAGCCGTTGGAGTGTTGCTTTACCTGCAGTCAGACCTCCCGCACGCCATGCACAGCATTCGCCACCTGTCAGGCTTTATGTCGTCCCCGACCGTTGGGGCATGGGCAACCCTGCGGCATTTGGTTGGTTACTTGAGTGCCACTGAGGGGTACTGTGCATGCCTTACGGCCGGAGGCATCGGACACGGTGTGCAAGTGCACCGCCCAGGGATCAATGTCATCGAGACGTTTAGTGATGCTGACTGGGGTGGATGCCGATCCACCCGACGCTCTGTCTCGTCGTCTGTGATTCTTTGCAACAGCAAGTTTATCCATGCAGCGTCCAAAACGCAAAAGTCGATCGCACTATCCAGTGCGGAATCCGAGTTTGGTGCCGCGGTGTCAGCCGCGATAGATGGAACCCTTGTTTCAAGCATGATGCGGTTTGTGTCTCCAGAGCCAACGACACCACCACTCTTGATGATTGACAATTCCGCCGCCCGCGCGATCCTTCAACGCGCCGGGGTCGGGCGTGTGCGCTATCTTGATGTGAAGTTGCTATGGACGCAACAACGGGTTGCGGAAGGATTGCTGGAGGTGCTGCCGGCACCCACGCGTACCAATGTCGCGGACATTGGCACGAAGCTCCTTGGTGTGCAGCGCACGGAGTTTCTGCTTGGCCTGATTGGGTTTAGAGATTCCCGAAATGGTTATGCTAGGGTTGGAGATGCAATCTTGAGCACAGAGCACAATGTCCAGGCCATTCGCAATGTGTGCAAGGATCTGTCTAAGATCGCAAAGGGTGATGCCACGGCAAACACCGCCCGCATCCTTAGTGTTATCTTGATTGCCATGCAGGCAACTGGAAGCCTGGGTGCAGAGGATGGCGATGATGCCAAGGACGACGATGCGACTTTGACCATTCTTGATGCGATTCTTGAATCCTTGGTGCAGATCGTCGGCTATGCATCTGCAGTGTATGAAGCATACCCTTCGACATGTGTTGCGGTGTGCCAGTGCGTTGCAATCACTGCATTCTTGATGTGTGCATTCATGTGTTGTGGCCGACGGATGACAGATGTTCCAGAGGCATCTGTGCAGGTGCGCATCGCGTCTGGAGTTGCAGTTGATGTCCGAACATCCCGAAGTGAGCCCAAAGCCAAGGCTGGTGAACAGGTGCGTGGAGCGCGGCCCAAAACCGCGAGTCGACCGAAGATTGATGACGACGATGAGCGAGCCCAGAGCCCTGGTGCGCACGAGGTCCATGCAGGCAGACCAGGGTCATCCAGCGATGTGCTGCGATCGAACAGCGAAGCCAGTGAGAGATCCGAGAAGATTCCGAGAGCGCGCCCGATTCCGCAGCGCCGGGTGCCCCAAGCCCGAAGCGCAGACGGCGTGTGGATTTCGACAAGCCAGGGATACGCTTATCATAAAGCTACATGTGGCAAGCTGAACCAGTCGCTTGGCGTCACCGAGGTGTCGCGAGCAGTTGCTGAGGAGCGCGGCGGCTACCGCGCGTGCCGCATATGCAAACCTTGATTGGTGTGCCGAGTTTCTTGTGATGCTGCATCGTACGCTTGATCTTGCTTTATAATGCTCATGAGGCACATTGGATGCCATGTACATAGTCAGTCCTTTGTGCCACGGCGCAATTGATTGACAGGCTGCTGGTGGATCCTGTACATAGCTTGACAACGTGCGATGGACGGCTTGAAATCACTTGAATCTTGATATGCAGCATTTTGCTGCCAATCCGAGCAATGCCACAATCCCCTGAGCCGTGGAGCGGCTCTCAGCTGCTGAGGTGCGTTTGGCACCCATTGGCGGTAACTAGGCCGTCATTGACTTTTCGACTGGGCGCGAGAGCGCATGATCCATCATGAATCCGCTCTTCGTCTTGACAACTTGCGAGGGCGTCCGCTTGCGCCAGTCAAGCATGCAGTTGTGTCCTCGGCTTAAGGTCGTGGATACAACTCCGTAGGCAGTGTAGTGTACAGTCTACACGTAGTTGAGTATAGCACTCGAGCTAAGCCTTGAGCCGGCTAAATCAAGCCCAATACGCTAGTGAGAACATGTGCACTTGGAGCGTGTTTAAAACGTCGTACAAGCTGTTGTTTCATACTTTGGGAATCGTTCACGAACAGTCTGCCCATTCGCCAATGGAACAGCCTGAGGCGGGGTACGAACGATTTTCCCGGATTCGTTGGCATGGTTTTACACTGATTTTATCATGCATTTTATTTTCGCTCTTGTAGTCGTGCACATGCTGATTCTGAGATACCTGAAGGCTTTTGTTGCTCGAGGATAGTGGAAAAGTTCGTAGAAGGTGAAGGCCTCCTCGCCCAACTCCGGCGTTCCCAGACCGCCCAGCAAGCCGACCAATACGCAGAGTGGCTTGAAGAGGCCTCAGGCTCGCACCTTGGCCCACTTTTTCGTGCCATCAAGTCCCACGAACAGCTGCTTGACAGGCCTTTCCAGGACTATGTGATGGCTTGCGTCGCGTCTTCGAACGGCACGAACACTGGGCAGGGGTGTGGCGCGGCTCGGTCTTCCCCCAGCCCTTTTCGCACCCTCTCCTCGCGGACCTCCGCTCGAGGGCAGCCTCGCACGCCAGCACTTTGCCTCCCCTTCGCGTTGCTGACCTGGAAAAGCTCCTGAAGAAAGCGGGCAAGAAGAAGGGTGGACCTGACGGCTGGAGCTACCCGGCTCTCCGCGCCTTGGACCCTTCCGCTCTTCAGCTCGTAGCCGACTTCCTCGCCCGCGCTGAGGCTGAGGTCCTACGCCCCGGACCACACGTGGGACCATGCGGTCCCGGGCCAGGCCAGCCTTGACACTGCGCTGGCGCGGCTCGTCCGCTCGGAGCACTCCCGGCTCGAGAAGACTCACATAGTGAGTCTTTTCTTCGACTTGCGAGGCTTCTTCGACTCGGTGAGCTACGAGCGCCTTCTCCTTCAAGGCATCGCTCATCGTTTCCCACCCCTTCACCTTTGGCCCTCCAGGTCTACCAGGGACCTCGCTGTCTCGTGGCGTCCCTCAGGGATGCCCGCTCGCTCCCTCCCTGACCAAACTCACTATGTCAGAACCCCTCAAGAAGGTCTCCAGCCTTTTGGCGGTCTCACATATCGATTTATGGTTGGACGACGTGAGCTTGGATGTCGTCGGCTCTGACCCGGTCCAGGTCGCTTCCTCCGCTCTTCAGGCCTACCGGGTTCTCTACTCCGCCCTCGGCCTTGAGGGCCTCCAACCAAAACCAAGTTCGTTGCCGGCACAGCGCGCTCTCGCGCCGCCCTCAACCAACTTCGGCGGCCGGACGACCCTGAAACTGCCGACCTGGTCAAGTTTGTGCGGGCGGCGGTTGCTCGCGAGGCCGGCCGTTTCGAGCACGGGTCCGCCGACGCCATCCTCGACCTTATGTCCATAAGGTCGTCGACCCCCACCAGCTTGTTGTTGTTGAGCAGCTTCAGGCTTTAGGGCGCCTCGCCTCGAAGGCCTCCCCGGAAGGCGTAAGCCTGCTCCGCCGCACGTGGACCTCCTCCTGGTCAAGGCAAACCTCCGCGAAGCAAAAATCGTGAATGGCCCCGTGTCTGCACTCATCCAGTATTTTCTGGATCTACGGGTGTCGGCTCCTACCCCGGACACCTGGACCCACAGGGATGCCACCTTCCACTTCCGCTTTCAGGAGCCTGGCGCGGTCTTTGAAGCCTCCGCCTTTCTGTGTCGGGTCGCCCAGCTCGAACGCTGGACTCGCCTTGGGTCTGTCTCTAGCGCCCTTGGCGCCTCCGAGGGCGTTGATTGGACCGTCCCCCGCCGCCTTTTAGCGCACTAAGGGCTGGCGGCACGGCCTTCGGGCCGTCTTTCAGGGAACCATCCTCCACTCTGGCAATGGCGGAAAAGACACCTGCAAATTCTGCGGCCAGCCCAACACGCTGCACCACCTCTTGTATGAGTGCGAGCGCGTGCCGGGCGCCCTCATGCCTTCAGGCTGGTTGCTTTCCTACAAGCGGCGTCACCCGGCTGAGTGTCTCTGGTTGCGTGGGATGCGGCCTTTAGCGCCCCGCCCCCCCCTCGCCCACGAGGCTGAGGTTCGCCGTACCGGCCTTTTCCTGCAAGAGTCCCCGGACCTGACAGGACTTTTCGTTGCCACGGATGCGTCGGGCGGACCAGCCACGAAGGATAGTCGTCTCCGCATCGTTGCATGTGGCCAGTCGGGACCAGGGTGAGCTCTCTGTCCTTGGTACCATGACGAGGCTTTTGCCGGCACTTGCCACCGTGCCAGAGGGAGAGAGCGAGGCAATAGCCCAAGCTCTCCTTTCCTCGCGCGGTTCCTTTGACCTCACGTGCGACTGCCGGCCGGCTCTTCGCAGTCTCTAGGGGCCCTTCACCAAGCGCACTCCGCCTGTGTGGTCCAAGGCTTGGGACCACAGGCACAGAGTCGACCCACACTGGGTCCGCTCCCACCAGAGTGAGCCCGATTTCGGCCCTGAATTCGGACCTGATGCGCTGTGGCGCCGTGAGCTGAACATCCTCGCCGACAGGCTTGCAGGTGAGCGCGCCGAAGAGGTCCAAACACCGCACCGCCTGGCAGCCCAACGAGAAGTCGATCGCATTACCTCGCTTCTGGAGTTTCTGGGGCGCCGCGCTTCCGCGCTTCTTGCTCGCGCGGAAAAGGAGGATTTTGTCCCGAGGAAGGACCGCCTTCAATCCGCCCTCGAGGCCTCCGCGTCCCCCTCGCCCAACAAGAGGCAGAGGTTGCAGGCTTTACTCGACGAGGCCCCTCTCCCCGGAAGACACGTCTGGTCTCGCACTTCTCGGGACAAAAGTTTCAACTTGTGTGTTAAATGTTCCGAGTGCTCACTCTGTATCTACCAGACCGACCCACCGGACACCTTCGAGCGCCTCATCTCCTTCCCGTGCCGTACGGCTGCGGTTCCGTGCCCCTTTGAGTTCCACCCCACGCACACTCTTGTGCGTCAGGGCCCCTCCTGGAAGTGTGACCAGTGTAGTGGACATGAGACCCTCCGTATGGGAGCCGTGCCAAAAAAGCTTGTTGCGCCGTGCGCGCACCCCTCGGTCCGAGGGTTTTTCCGTAAGGTTTCCTCAGCCCCTGGGCCTCAGGTACCTGCTTCTGCTGCTGCCCTGCCTGTTCCCCCTGTGCCCAACTCTTGGGGGTCGATAGAGGGTTCTGCAGCTGCCCTCACTTCGGTTGAGGTTTCGGAGATGCAGGCCCCTTCCCCTCTTGAAGGCCCCTCGCTTTCTTCTTCAGATGTTGCCCAGGCCAGGCTTTTGCTAGCCCTGGTTCCGTCTCTCGAGCCTCGGTACCTAAGGCCCCAGGCCCCTTTTGGAAGAGCGCCCCGGCCTCCAAGGCTAAGCCGAAGCCTCGCCCCAAGCCCAAGCCACCCCCGCCCTGTCCTTCGGTCACCAGGTTTTTCCGGTAGCCCTTGGCTCAAGGGCCGCCTAAAGGCAAAGATGGGAAGATACGGGAGTTTGGCACTCAACCAGCTCTCTTACTCGGCGGAAAACCCGCCCAGACAAAGCGGCCCGTGCCAGGGCGAAGGCCCAGCAAGCTGAGTCCCAGGCTCGGGTACAAGCTTCGCCACCGGCCGCCTCCTCCTCGCCGCCAGGCTGAGGTTCTGCTCAGTGACGGTGGCGACCATCAGGCGGCCGGGTCTTCCAATGACCCTGCCCCTTCCCCCTGCGCCCGGCGTGTCACCACACGCACCGTTGCTGTGTCTGCACCAAGTGATGGGCTCCCCGAGCCTCCTGTGGCCACCGGCCAGCCTCGCGGTCTCCAACTTCCTGTGCCTCTAGTGCCAGTTCCGGGCACGTCCCAATGCAATGGCTGCCGCTGTCGCCGGCGCTGAGACGCCCACCCCGGGCCCGCTGGACTCCCTTGCCTCCATGCCAAAGCGCCCGGAGTTCACCACCGCTCCTGCCAACCTCTCAGCCCTACACGATGGCAGCCTTATCCAAATGTCTCTTGCGCCCAAGCGACCTCTCCAGCCCGCAGGCAGGCGCCGTGGCACTGGATCAGAGGCCCGGCGAGCACCGGAAGAAGGCAGCTTGAGCGTGGACCCGAATTAGGGCACGCCTTTGCTTTCTGTTGCCGGTGCAGTTGGTGTTCTACCTTGCACGGGCCCTACCCAGACCACCTTTCGGATCCAGAAAGTAGATACGCATGTTGCTTGTCCAGGTTGGATACGTGCACTTGTTTCTGGATCCGCTACCAATTTTGGGGTGAAACAGCGACACCTATAACTTGAGCAAAAACCAGCAAACTCAAAAAAACAATCCTCCTCACCCAAAAGCAGCAGATTCTTTGGCTGGTTCAAAACACAGGGCTGCAAAAGCAAACGGTTCATGAGCTTTAGATTCATAAATCGGCAAAAAACCATATATACACTGATGCCCATGATGCTTGAGCCGAAATTGTGTCTCTCCTTAGCACTTCTCCCTCAAGTCATCTGGATTTCGGGAAAGGTTCTGTCGATTGTTCGCAAGTCTTCGTTTGAGGGCGACAGCATTAGTTTTAGGGGCTTGGTTCCGTCCTAGGCTTTGGGGTTTGAGGGAATCCTTCAAATCTACAACTGAGAGGACCGATCTAAATGAAAAGAGCTGAATATACTGTTGTCCTTGAATTTTACAGCTAGAAGCTATACTGACCCCTTCAGCTGTGCTTTTCGGCCTCGAGGCTTGCTGCTTTAAAGCGCTAAATGTCAGAATGTCTGGATAATACCGAGTTAGAAGAAGATTTGGGTTTTGAAAGGGCTTCAGGGGTTCACGGCGTCGGTTTGAAGAAGATTTGGGTGTTGAAAGGGCTTCAGTGGTTCACGGCTTCGGGCGCCCAGGTTAAAGCAACAGCTTAAGAGACTACGATAAACAATCCAGCAGCCCCAAACTGAGCACGAACCTGTCGAAGACAAATCCTTCTCCGAAGCCTTAAACCTTACTCCTAATAGCCCCTAAAACCCTAATTCCCCAACCCTGCCGTCGAAATCTTTCCGGCCCACGGACCACGATTGCTGATGCTTGGCATGCCTCTCTATATCCAGGGTTTTGTGCCTCGAGGAGGGTCCGTGTTTATTACTTGTCTGTTTCGGGAAGACTACCCATAAATATAGTTGTAGGGTTTCAGAAGCTCCTTCGAGACACAATCTGTACACCTTCGAACGGCGACGTCGGTCTGTGGCTGCAAAGCGTACTATGTGCATTTCCTTGGAAGCGAATGTGCTTGGAGGGAATCAAATTTATGTATTTCCACATAAATAAAAAGAATACTACCTCAACCCAAAAGCTTCGAAAGGCCACCGAGTCTCATCATTCTTCGCAAGCCCGTGATCCGTAGCACAGCCTCGGTTTTTGTATCTCTGAGGCACCAAGTTCCACTCGGATCTTTCAGATTAATCACAAAAACAGAACCCCTTGCCAGCCTTTTAGGGTTTCGGGTGTAAGGGCCTAGCTTACCAAACTCACAGGGCTAATTAGCTTGGGACTTAGGACTGAAGAGTTTTCTCGATATGCAAAGTTGCTCGGCTGCAGAAAGCTCTGCGTGAGCAAGAACTCGTGGCTCCGGCCGTGTCCCTCGGGAGATTTTGGGGTCGATTAGGGTTTGAGTCTGGTTTAAGGCTTAGGGCTTAAAGTGTTTGGGCAAGGTTTTCGGGTTTAAGTTTGGCAAAGAATAGTAGTCACCTGGCTCAAGCAGTTGAAGCTGGCAAGGCTAGGCGCTTAAACAAAAAGACAAGCCAAGGATCAAGTGCCGGCAGCTCAATCCTCATCCTCTGCCAACAGCTGTTCAAACATAGAAAGCTTGCGATACACTGCAAGTGCCCATCCTCGTCTGTGAACCGACCGGCACACACGGGCGATCGCCCCGTTCAGGGATTCGTCGATGTAAGTGGAGTAAAAGCGGGGATTCCCCTTCAGCAGTGCCCTCTGAATCATATGGTACATCATATGACATTTAGGCATGAGAGGGATCTGGGCTCTGGCAGACAGGCAGATGAACCTGTTGTAGTTGTCGGACAGCAGTGCACAAGTGTCGGCATCGACCGCTCTCGGGTGAGCCGCCAGCACTGCATCGAAGTCCATCGCTGCAGTGCCTGCTCTCAGCAACAGATCGACAGAAGCAGCCTCAGTCGTCGAAGCCAGTTGTTCCGAATGCTTTGCAAGTCTATCGACGACGAAGTTGAGCAGCCCATGTGTCTCGGCAGCTTTCGCTTTGAGATATTTTCCAGCAATCATGGTCAAGGTCAGGTTCCACACCTGCAGGGGTCATCCATCGCTACTGAGGAAAGCTTAAGCGGGCTCTGGTTAGTGGGATGCGTCGGGCCTCTGAGCCTTTTCTCTTCCAATCTTCGTCTGATTCTCGGCGTCTCTTGTAGAACGACCAAAGTTCCGCACGAAGATGAAGCAAGGCGAGCTTGTCAGCCTCCTCTTTCTCCAGGTCCTTATAACTGGTCGGCTGATACACCGGCGAAGAAATCAGGGTTCGCAGCGAATGTGCGACATACGAGGACAATGGTCCGAAATGCCATGTGTGGAGCACATCTATGCACCAGCAGTCGATCGAGACCCCAGGTATTCTCAAAAAAGGTGATCGATGGAGGATGCGACCGTGCGTCCCGCCGGTGTAGAAGATACAGCTGAATGGTGTCGTGAGATGGATAAAGTTGTCCACGTCCAAAAGATGTTCAGATGGCTCCAGGCGATGGCCTCTACGAAGACCCAGCGGCGGGAAGGCCGCCTTCAAGCATCGTCCCCGACCATTCTTGCTGTAGCGGAGCAAGCTGTGAAGTCGCCGTTGGCTCTCGTCGTCGGGCACAATCACTTCCTATAGTTCGATTCACGGCTACCGCTTCTTGGCTTTTAGGTTCTTTATTCTTATTCCTTGAATATACTTGATGAAGACAACAGAAAACTTTGCCTGCTGCGGAGTCCAGCGGCCCGGAAAGTCCGTGCTACGAGCTCGTCATAAGAGCTCTGCGTAAAAAGTGGGTTCGGCGAGGAATTCAAGGAATGTGTGCCGACGGCCAACAAGGAGGACTTATCCACCTTGCAGCATGGGCATGGATGGAGGTTGTGAGACCATGTCCGAAGGCCGCAAATCTCGACCAGTGCCGGCCAGTCGGCCTTGAAATCCAAAATCGCCGGTCGAATATCGGTGTGCTCACGGCTCATGTCACAACGGAAATGTTCCAGAAGCGGGAAGACTGAACACCAGCCACGACAGCCGCACGAGCAGAGCTCTGACAGCCCTGGGTGTGCGATGTCTTCGGGAATAAAGAAACATATTGTCTTTGGTTGAATATAAGGTCTCTTCGGAAATAAGCTACGGTTATTACAACGGCAGCAATAACTATAATAACCCAAGGCACTCAAGAGCCACACCAGTTGTTGCTTCCCAGAGCGAAGGTTCGTCATGTAGAAGCCCAGAAAGTTTTCGTTCTTTGTGTATTGCACCCCATCAAAGTAAACAGACAGGGGAACGACGTGTTCCTGACGAAATCCTTCTTGAAAGGCTTTCTGGACCACGGGGTGGGTGCAGTACAAATCCCAGTAACCCTTATCGGCATCAAGGTGATCTTTCAGAAGCTTTGAGTTTGCACTTGCCCCGGACCCCAGGAGCCCTAAATCATTCAACTCACAACGAAGCAGATCGGATGTTGCCCTTGTAGGATGCTGCACCGAGACTCGCCCGAAGGATTTCTTGCAGTTCATAGGCACATGAACGTATTCCACGTAGGGCTCTTCGAAGTCTTTGGCAAGATGGAGGCCGTCAGTGCGAGCGCTGATAGTCCCTTAATATCTTGAGCGTGAATTTTCTTGAAAAATCGGGCCTGGATTTTTAAAGAGAATGGCTGCCAAAAGTTTTCTGTAGTGTGAGCGCCAAGTGTTGCTATATTGCATCTTCTTGTCACCCGCGCTCGTCATCTCAAGGCATCTGAAAGCCGGTGTTGCATAAACGTCAGCGACACTATGCTGGACTCCACGGAACAAGCCACAAGTCTTGCACATGTAAGGTTGCAGAAATTTTTCTTTCGCCGGGTCGTCCCATGGACTTCGGCGACGCCCTCGCCGCTGGTTCTTCAGGCCGTTCCGAGAACAGCTCTACCAGCACCCGCGAGCTTCATAGTCAGCACATTTACGAACTCCAATTGGAGGTCAACGCCCTCCGTGCTGAAATCCAAACTCTCAGGTCCGCATTGCAGGCTTTGGAAGAGTCCCTTGCTCGTGCCTGGGTGAACCAGACCGGCCACCACCAACGTCTCTCGTGGCTCGAAGGGATCATTCAGAGCTTGAGGACTGCCTGTCGGGTATTTCTTGAGCCTGGCGTGCAGTCTGCCTCAGATTAGGCCATGAATACCTTTAGTGCCAGCATCTTGCAGCAACTTGCTGGTGTCACCCGCGAGCAGCTCGACGGTGCCTTGCCTCCGGCGCAGGCCACTGTTGGGCCCCCTGAGCTTCCCTTTGCACCCGTGCCCGATCTTGGGGATGCCTTTCCTGCAAATCCATCTCCTGCATCTGCTTCTGCGGATAACTGGGGGTTTGTAGGATTTACTGGTGACTTCGAAGGGTTGACCGATGACTTCACAGCGCCTGTCTCTGAAGTCGAAGTCCAGCAGCAAACTCACGAGTTTCCACCTTCCCCTCCCGTAGGGTTTAACCCCAATCACTTCGAGGCCCATTTAGCATCCCTCTGCGAGCCAGATGAGCAAGCCCCTTCCCTCTCCCTTTTAGGGTCGGGAGATGAAAACACTGCTTGGTATGAAGATGTTAGGGCCATGAGTGAGTCACATCTTTCATTGGTGCCAAGTGCCAGCAAAAGAGACTTTGGAGAAGAGGTCCGTCCTGGTAGGATTGCTCGTGCTGTGGGCGATGAGCGCTCACGTACTGCCGTGGCATCTCCTGCCCTGCCTTGGGAGAGAGGAGTCTTCAGAGCCATCTTTGGGGATGAGGGCTTAACTAATCCCTTTGATAACCTTGTGCTTAAGATGCCTGGCCCCTTAGTCCCAGCACATGTGCCGCCGGCGGAGCCAAAGATCCCTGAGCCTCCCATACCTTCAGCTGACATCGCGAGCAGGGCATTCAAATCCTTCAAGGATGTACATCCGAGCGACGAGCGTGATATGGTCATGGACCGAGCGGTGTGCAAACTGCAGCACATCATTTGCCGCACCGATGTTGACCGTTTGTCACCTGAACTTGCACAAGCAGCCTCTTCCAAAGATGCAACAGACGAAGTGTTTGGCATCGTGTCAGCTTGTGTAGGTCTTCGTAGTCCTCACACGGTTGTGAAGCGCGCCAACGCGATCCTTGCATACTTGAGATGGTGTGACAAGGAAGGTTACGAGAAGCCATTTTGTGAGGATTCTGTGTGGAGCTTCATTTCTTACTTAAAGAAAGAGAAGGCAGCTCCGACCCGTGCAGCCTCCCTCATTTCAGCTTTGCGCTTTGCGAACTTCGTTCTGGGACTGAGTGTGTCCGAGGTTCTTGCGAGCCGTAGGATTCTGGGCCTCAGTGCCCAGCTGGGTGTCAAAAAGAAAGCGACCAACCGAGCCCGGCCTCTCAAGGTGTCAGAGGTTCGCTTCATGCATGGCGTGCTGGAGGACGAGAGTGCACCAATCTGGGACCGAGCCATCTGTGCCTACCTTCTTCTTGCACTCTACGCAAGAGCCAGACACAGCGATTTGGTTCTTGTAGAAGAAGTGATAGCAGACTTTGATCGCCAGTGCAGCGGATACCTAGAGATCCGCCTCAGATTCCATAAGACGGCACAAACCATTGCAAAGAAAAATGATTTGTTGCCGGTAATAGTTTCAAGCAAGGGCATCGTGAAAGGCGACTGGCTGGGGTTGGCTACTGATGTATTTGAGCGCGTGGGCCTCACCTTGGATGGGACTGTCGGTGCGGGCCTCTTCAGGCCATTTAGGCCCGGTGATGCTGCCCCAGGTCGACGAAGCCTAAGGTCGTCGGAGTGCACAACCATGTTGAAAATGGTCCTTGAGCGGGCTGGGTCAGATGTGTCAACGGTCACATCTCACTCGTTGAAGAGAACCCTGCTTGATTGGGGCTCCAAGTTTTGTCTTGATGACGGGATTTTGGCTTTGCTTGGGCGTCACAGTAAGTGTGTCAAAGGAAGCGTGCCCGTCTATGCTAAGGAGGAAGCCTTGAAAGCTGTTAGGGCTCTTGAGCCTATGTGCCAAGCAGTGGCCGCAGGATCGTTCCACCCAGATGCTGCCCGAGCCTTGTACTTTACAGATCCCCCAGCGCCAACTGTGGTGCCACAAGCGCCCGAGTTCAGGGCGGCTGTCAAGACGAAGGTTGAAATCATCAATGATTCAGCGTCCGAGCGGGCTGAGTCCGAAGGGCAGCACTCTTCAAGTGGCAGCGAAAGCAGCGATTCCGAGTCACAAGGCGACTCCGACTCGTCGTCCGAGTCAATTGCGCCGATCAAAGCGCCCCGCCTGGAAATCGAGCAGTGGGATGCCGCTGACTGTGCGGCCAATTCCAGGACCAGGACCCTTCACCTCTTGAAATTTGTGTCTGGAGGTGGAAATCTAATCGCCACGTGCGGTTCAAGCGGCGCAAGCACATATGAGTTTCCGGAGGTGCCGCGCTTGTGTGCGGATTGGGAAGCGCTGAAGGCTAGATGCCGACTTTCCGCCTTTTTGGCGAAGGGCGAAGTGCCAGGACCTAGAAGGTCTTTGATTGCGATTCGAGTCGTCTGCAGTGGGACATGTTGTTGCCAGGGACAGTGAAGCGCGGCAGTGTGCTGATTTTGATCAAATTTTGTGTTTGTACTCGTACCCTGATTTTGATTGAACAGTTTGGTAGCTTTTGGACATGTAGCTTTGAGTGCATGGAATAACCATGTTACGACCGACGTATGCAGGCTCAGAGTTTGCGTGAAAGAGGATTGTTTTCATGGTAGCGGAGCACTGGCTGACCAGTGCTTCGGAAACACGCTTGTGGGTTTCCGTCACTTTAAGTGTCCAGGGGCCCAGGCTTTGAAATCCTCTTCTGCTTTTCGTCTTCGGTGAAGTTAGGTAGGATCGCAATCCCGGCTCCTGACCGGACGAGCCATATCCTGCTTGAACAAGCCGAGTGGCAATCACGGCGGCGAGTGAAGCTTCTGCTGAAGCATTGCGAGAGCGGATCAGACAGCTCTATCTTGAGCAGCTGTTGCAGCGGCCCTGCCCAGAAGGCCGCACGCGCAGAGGTTGGTGCAAGATTCTTCACGGGTTTCAGGAGGCTTTAGATACCAAGCTTGAGCGACTTCACACAATTTCTGAACTGCATTGTTTTGCCCTTAAGTGCTTGAAGGATCGCGATCTTCGAGAAACTTACATTGGGTTTTGTGCAGCGGACACCGCAGAGTTTGCCATACCAGACGGTGTTGTTGAAAGTTGCGTGCACCCGACTGAAGAGCATTCTGCGTTTGACAGGGACCTAGAGCTGTTTGAGCAGACAAGTTCCTCTCGAGGTTTTCAGGAGTTGAAAGATTCGCCAGCAGAGCCGATTGAATTGCGTGAGCCTGAGCGTGGAGTGTTCAAGCGCCTGCAATTATCTTCTTCTGCTGTTATTGATTTAGAGCCCAATCAACAAAGTACAGATTCATTGCAGAGTGGAAGCCGCAGTGTGATTGACCTTGATTGATTGTTGAAACAATGGCTGATTTAGATGATGATGATCTTGGTGGTGAGGGGCCGACAGGGCCTCCAGCGTCAGGGAGTGCAGGACCAGCAGTTGGACCGCAGCTTCCCCAGATGAGCACGAATCCGTTTTCGCCATCGGCAGGTGGTTCAGTGCCAAATCAGGTAGTACTTGATGTTGCTCAGTTTCAGCAGATCCTGCAGACCATGCAAGGCCAAAGTCAGGCTGTTCTTGCAGCGGCAGGTGTAGCGAGTGCAGCGTCCCCGAGCAGGAGTTCAGGGACACAGGGCTTTAGTGATGCAAACCGCATTTTGAATAGGCCCGCATGCTTTGGAAGCACCTCGCATGACAGTGACTTGGGGTCGTGGCTTGATTGGGCACATGCCTTTAAGGCTTGGCTTATCTTCGCCGACCCGCAGTATGAGATTGAGCTTCAGACAGTCGAGTCAAATCTTGATGTAGAGAACCCCACCATGCCAGCTGAAACTGCAGAGCGGTCGCGTCGTTTGTATGCAATACTTAGCAGTCTGCTGCAGCACAAGCCGAAGATGTTGTTGCGACAAGTGCCGAACCGCAACGGCTATGAGACTTGGCGGCAGCTGGTCAACATCTACGCACCGCGATCGAAAGTGCGAGGACTTGCACTGCTGAATGCCATCATGTCATTTCCCCCGTTTGTGAAAAGCAAAACGACCAGGGAGCAGGTTGACGGTTTGGATCGCCTTGCCCAGGAGTATGAAAGGGTCTCAGGAACGGCTGTGAATGCAGATATTCTCCTTGGGACTTTACTTCGGGTTTTGCCGGCGCACTTGAGAAACCACATTCAGCTTCAGATGAAAAGTGACACCAGCTATGAGCAGGTCAAGCAGTTCACCCTGACGTATGAAGTGACGACCAGCAATTGGTCGGCGTCCAAAGTGCAGCAAAGCTTAGGAATAGGCTCCTCGGGTGACCATAGTGCCAGTGATCCCGTACCCATGGATGTAGACAGGGTCGCTAAGGGGAAACCTAAAGGCGGCAAGGGCGATGGTCGTGGAAAAGGTGGAAAGGACAAAGGTGGAAAG